ATAGAACAACCAATATTTAAGTTCGAATCTAAATCGAAATTATGGCTGGAGTACAAGCTCTATTGATTTTCAATCAGAAATTGAGTCGAAATTGATAAAACATAGTAAGTGGAATTAATAAGGAAAGAATCCAAAGGTCCCAAACTTGTGTCTTTTCACTAGTCCTACACTACCATGGTCAGAAAACACCGTAAAACACAGTGTTGTGTAGCGTTTTCATACTCAACTCACCACCAACGAATGCTCGCTCAATGCTCATTTGAGTTTGAACACGATTTCATTGGGACTCATTACGCAAGTATTTGGTCAGAATCCTAGTCGTAATCAAATCTGAAATTTCGAGTCTAAATAGTGTTCCTTTCCCAATATATGCTTACAATTCAATTTGAGCTTTAACAGGATTTGATAAGGAAAGAACCCAAGCCTGTATTCAACATTCAAGAATCAATATTCTCTAGACAAGTCTTCTTTGCAAGCGCGAGTCCAGGCCCGAGTGAAACCCATTGAACCGACTGAAACTTCAGTTGAGCCTGGGTTCAAGATCCCCTAGAAAAGTTTGGCCTACAAACTTGAATGTGGGCCTAGATTGAAACAGATTGAATGAAAAATCAGGACTTGGATGCTTTCACAACACTGTGCCAAAGTGCAGCCGCGCAAAGTGCAATGCTGAATTTGGGTCTCGATTTAAACCGACTTAAAACGATTTAAATTTAAATCGGTCATGGATTCAAGATTCAAGAATCCAGGCGACACTTTTGCAGGGAAATCGGGCATGGATTCAACATTCAAGAATCTAGGCCAAACTTTTCCAGGGAATCATCATGCCCGATTTAAGTTTAAATCGGTTTTAATCGGTTTAAATCGAGGCCTGGATTCAAGATTCCCTGGAAAAGTTTGGCCTGGATTCTTGAATCGTGAATCTTGAATCCATGCCCGATTTAAATATAAATCGGTTCAAATCGGTTTAAAACAAGCCTGAAGCTTCCAGAATGTGCTTGGAAATGCTTCTTTTTCATCGCTCTCCCCAAAGCCCAAAAAAGGGTAGAAAACAATGCAAATACCAGCGGATTCTTCGAAAAAGGTAGGTCCCTGGGGGGGGGGGGTACCATATATATATATATATATTATGTAGGTATGTATACACAACATACATACATATACACAGATATACATGTATCTACAGACATCCACATACATACGCACACATTTACACACATGACCGTACACACACACACACGCATGCATGCATGCATGCATGCATACATACATACATAAATACATACATACATACATATACAGATAGTTAGATAGATAGATAGATATAAATAGATAGATAGATAGATACATCACATATATACATACATACATACATACATACATACATACATACATACATACATACATACATACATACATACATACATACATACATACATACATACATACATACACACACATACATACATACATACATACATACATACATGCATACATGCATACATACATACATACACATACATACATACATACACATACATACATACATACATACATACATACATACATACATACATACAGACACACACGCACATACATACATACATACATACATACATACATACATACATACATACATACATACATACATACATACATACATACATACATACACACATACATTCATACATACATACATACATACACACATACATACACACATACATACACACATACATACACACATACATACACACACACACACACATACATACATACATACATACATACATACATACATACAAGCCTACAAGCATGCATACACACACATACATGCATGCATAAATACATACACAAATACATACATATGTTCTTGCATTCATACATACATACCCACACTCACAATTCATACATATGCACGTACGAACGTACGTACGTACGTACATACATACACACACAAACAGGTGCATCCATATACACAGACATGTGATTATAGGTTCAGCTCAGTGCAAATCCGACCTTAAGCTTTGGCTTGTTTGGCACGGGACTCGGCCTGGGAGCCGGGCACCAAATGGGGCCGGGAAGCCTGTCTTTAGACGCATGGGAGGGGGCTTGCCTAAGGCTTTGTCAAGGAACCCTAAGGAACCCTTGGCCTCTCAACCACCCACCCCCCCTTACTACCTACCCTTTTGAGGGGTCCACGGATTCTGAGGTAACCGACCCTATCGCTTCGGAGCCGACTCGGCTCTCAAGGTGCCGAGGGACGCGTTCCCGTCCGCACGGCACCAGCAGCGCTGGCTGGAGCTGCTGAAGGACTCTTTCTTGGCGTCAGATGGCTCTCTGGGTCACACGGCCCCAGTAGCTTCCCCAAGGGGAACCGTTTCTCACCAAACTAACGCTGCCGAACAGGACCCCGACTTTTGCTGGGTCCAAAGCAACATCCTCAACAGTGCCTCTTCTGTTACAGGAAAGCCAGTCCGATTCGGCCAATCAGGATCCTCAGGCGTGGCGCCTCAAAGCCTCAAGAGGGAGGGAAGGGGGGGTTTGGTGGCCGACTGGCCGACTGGTGGGCGAGTTGACGTGGCAAGCGCCTGGCCCCTTTTAGGTACCGAAGGATTCGAAGTTCGGCCTGTTGATTCCTATGGGTCAACCGATTCCTCCAGGTGTTGACAAAGGTTGAACAGACAAGGCGCTCCAAAAACGATAGGTGAGTACTTCCTTTACAAGGGATAGATGCCCACAAGGGGACACCCCCATCTCTCGAAACCAACCAACGGTTCTACTTAGATCTGGGGTTCCCATTCCCACTTAGTTCCAATCAGGGTTGCATTGATCCGTTTGAATCAAATCGAAACCCCGAACTCCCAAGTATGTCACCAAGAGCCAACGCTTGCCTTGAACAAGCGAAATTGTCCAGGGCTTCTTTCCTTAGTATACCACCCTTTAAGGCAACTAGGGGGGAAATCCTGAAGAATTTCCCGAGAGCCATGGCTTCACCGGGGCCTTTGTGGCTATGGTTGAGGATGCATCCAAAAACTTGCAAATTACAAGGAGGTTCGGAGGTCAATGGGTTTCTTGACTGGCCCTGGCACTTTTGCTTTTATATACATACATATATGTGCAGATGTCATAAGTATCTCCGCCTGCCTTTGTGAACGCTCACTTCTCCAGTTTCTGGACTTTATACTTTCGGGGTGGTAAACAAACAGTTTCAAGAAGGGAGGATATATCTTATGCACGTATGTGTAAGCACAACACTGCATATGTATAGTCGGACTTGTTGTGGCCTCCACGCCCCAACTTTGGCCCGGCCAGGTCTTATACTGCCGAGTAGCATCACGCTACTCCTTACCATCGCCTAATGCATATGTATAATATGCACGTACACATACATGCATTTGCTGCCCTGCGCCGCCTGCCCCTAGTGCTAAGCATCACACGGTTTTCTCAAGCAGGCCTTAATGCCACTTTCGGATTCCTTAATAAATGATTTTGGACAACAACATTTTGGCCCTATGTTACCCCAAATTGCATCAACAGTCAATTATCACGATGACATTTATGGCCCAGAGGTACATGAGGTAGGTTCTCATGTAGTCAGTTGCATGTTGTACATTCAAGTCAATGCCAGAGCATGATCCAATCACTGCTTTGGCTCAAGTGCTGAAAACAGCGCGTTGCTCGCGCTAACCCCAAGGTTAAGGGAGAGGTCGCAGTCACGGAGGGGTTCGTTCCTTTTAAGGTCCCGGGTTCCCCCGGTGTTGACAAAACTGTGTTTCCCTCTCCTTTGAGTGGTTATCAGCCGTAACGCTTTTCGGGTAAACAAACCCTTCCGTGACTGCGACCTGTTGGTCGCACATGGAAGCCGGCCCTCACCGCGGCACTCGCGGGGGGAAAGGGCCGCGTGCCCGCTTATTCAATACTCTGCAACAGATCGTCGTCGACGAGTACAAGCGGCAGAACAGACGATTCCGGTGGATCAGGTTTGCGGACGCCTCGAAGCAACAGGTCGAGGCGCTCTTTTCCTGGCGTGAGTCATTGGATAGTTGGCACCTGTGGAATTTTGACCAAGAGGCCTTCGACGTGATCCAGGCCGCGGACAACGCTTATCAGCAGCGTCTCGCATCGGTTGAAACCACAGGTGTGGTCTTGCCGCAAGGTGTGCCATCTCAGGATCAAGCCGCAGCCTCGGGCGCGGCGGAAGCAGCGAGCAGTGCAGCGGACTGGCTACGCCCTCCGACGCCTCCTTCAGCTTCCTCCTGGCTGCAAGATTCACGCACTCCTTTGCCTCGCATCCGGCCATCTGCAGAGGAAAGACAAGCCGCCAAGTCAACACTTCGCGGGGTGTACGCTAAAGCTGCGGAAACGCGGCGGGAGAGCAGCAGGGAACGGTCAACACAAAGATCGAGGTCCCCATCGCCCCGAAGGTCGAGGTCTCCATCATCAACTCCGAGACGAGGACCAACTGCTGCTACCCCTGTGGAACAACGGGCTCACAGTGTTGAACCCGCGCTTGCGCGGGAGGGCAGGCCATCCAGGACTTCCCTTGCCACACGGCCCATCGTTTTGGCTCCACAGAATAGCATATACCCTGTGACTCGATTTGACGAGCACGGCACCTGGGTACTTGTTCGGGAGGCTTCACAGCCACGTGAGGCGGCATCTCATCGGCGAGCACGGCGGACGTCTGGACAACTCCGTCAGGCTGACCCGTATTTGCTCGCGGACGAGACGTGGAGAGATCCCCCAAGAAGATCATCCACGAGCTCGCGTTCACGATCTCCTGATCGACGCCCGGCGCCAGCGGAGCACTTCCGCCTCGACGCCTACAGCTCGGAAGAGGAACCTCCGCAAGACGCGGAATCCATCAGAACGGGCAGGGCAGCCTACGTGCCTCGGCGCGTGTACGAGGCGCCGACTCACACTGAGCCCATCGCGTTGCACAGCCGGAGAATTGGAGCAGTTCAACCGCCGCCACCAAAGGCCGCACCAAAGGTCATTTTTGGCAGCAAGCCTCCATTGCCCAAGGAAATCCCCAGGGCAGCTTCTTCGGTACCGGCAAAAGCAGATATTCCGAGGAAATCACCGCCACGAGCAAGATCTCCTATTCGGACTCAGAGTGCATTCGGGTACAAGGCGCCTCCGCGAGGTTTGAACAAGGCCGAACCCAGAAGCAAATCGAGCTCAAACCCGCCACAATTCGGGTACATCGTCAAGCCGCCACCTCCGCAGGTCGTTCAAGCAGCTGCTGCTAGCGCTGCAACTCCCGAAGCTGGCACGCGATTCCGCTCGCCACCAAGGAGGGCACCGCCTGCGCCCCCGCCGCCACCACCTCCGCCTGGAAGGCCGGTGCCGCCCAAGGAGCTTGTTGTTGCTCTTGACTGGCACGGAGTTCTTGACGTTGGGCAGCAGGGACCCCACCTCAACCCGGTAGTGATCCGACATCTCGTTCAGTTTGCAGCGGACTACGCACCTATAAATTTTATAGTGCTATCCTTCGTGGGCAGGGCTGCAAGCGAGTATCGCCGCCGCGAGTTCCAGGTCGCCCTGGAGCACGCGCGGGCGACATCTGGACTCACTTTTTCTGCGATAAAAATCGTACACGAACGGTTGGGTAGGGGAGGCAAAGCAGACGCCCTTCAAGGGCTGGGCGTTCACGCCCTTATTGACGATACAGCATCGATTGTCCGTGAAGCTCAAAAGACAGGCATCGCGGCGTTCCGCAACTTCCCGCATTTCGGGCCGGGCGGATTTGCCAACGCACTTGAGAATCTTGGTGAGTTTATCGAGTCCCGGAACAGACAATTCATTCCGGCGGCAAGGGGCCTGCATCCATCGCAGTACCTCGAGGAGCTCCACCGATCTGCATCCCAGCTGCCCGCCAGCCGGGTACTTCGATAGCCTTTGTTGCAAGCCGTTAAAACCGTCGCTTTGCGCGGTACAGCATTTTGCAGTTACAGGCATTCGATTTGCAGACAAATTCTCAATACAGCTTGGCAACATCCCTCGATAAAGCACCATAGAGCGGCAGTGCGGATCAATCAATCTACAAGTACAATTACAAATACAGAATTCATCAGGTGCAAAGCAGCAGGGCGTATTTTCTTGAGTGGCTCACTTGAGCGTTTCGCACCAGCTGCCAATCCAGGGATATCTCCTCGTAGCACCTTTTGACACGCTGCTCAAAGCGCGTGGAGCTAGCTTCGTGTGAGTGCAAAATTGCATTGCTGTGTCATGGCTTCAACGGGCTTATCACCGCCATCAGAACCCCGTTCAAGGTCAACCCCAAATAGGGATTCTGAACCGGATGACCCTGACTTAGCCATGGTTCCTGCAGTTATGTCCACAGTTCGCACATCCACACCTCAACGAGCAGCCCAAACACGACCATCATCACCCCCGAGTGGTCCGATCGTGTCAGAACCGACATCATCAGAAGCTTCCCCAGCCATTCAGTTTCCTTCACAGGGATCGCAGTTACCTGACCCGATGACTAACGTACCCGCTGCGGCATTTATAGCTGGAGCTGCGGTGCAGCAAGCTCATCGAGCATCCGACCTCGCTGCTCAGGCAGCCAATCACGCCTTGCACCAACAGCAGGCCGCCGATCAGGCGAGACAAGAGGCCGGATGGATCAGGGAAAGGGCTGTAAGAGAAGTTTCAGACGTTAGGGTTCAGGCCGCTCAGCTAGCTTCGCAAGCACAGCAGGCTGTACAAACAGCACAACAAAGTGAGGCTCAGCCTAGGCAACTCATGGAGCAGACACGACAGGAAGCCCTTGGCCATGTCGAGAACGCACGACAGGTTGTTAATGCCACTCAACAGGACGCTCAGCAAGAGGTTCAACGCATTGTTCAAGAGGCTCAACAGGCAATCCTACAAAGGGAGCAAACCATTGCCAGTCAAGAGCATACCATTCGTGGATTGTCCCAGGAAAATTCTGTGATGCATCAACGACTTGGTGATCTCGAACGTGTTGTTGCGCAGCTCACCCAACAAGCTCGTGCGACCCCTGTTTCGATGCAAGAGTCCCCGCCAAAAGCCGCATCAATAGCCGAAACAGCTACGGAAACAAGCGCGGCTAAAGCCTCAAGTCAAGGCACAGTTCCCCCAGGAACCCATCAGCCGGTTGGAGCACCTCAGGTTTCAAGTTCACAAGATGCCTCCGGTGTTGCCGCATCGTCGCAAGGGAATGCTTTTACAAGTGCTATCCCCGACCCTCCGTGTGGTTCTGTTCAAAGTACAGGACTTGGTCACGATGCCCCAGCTGATTCAAGGGACCCTGGTGGGGGTGCAACAAGTCAACATCTCGTAGGCCATTCGGCAGTGCTAGGAGCAGCGTCCTCTGTTGGAGACGCAGCCCCCGGCGCGTCGAGGACTAGCGGGGTGGGTAGAGACGGTCCAAGGGATCAAGCCGATGTGAGAGTGCAAGTGACAGCTTTAGCGGAAATGGTTCAGCAGCTTTCCCAATTGGTTGCTAATCAAGTGGCTCCGCCACCTCCG